CATATATATATATATATATATATATATATATATATATATATTTATCATATTTGTCCTTTTTTTAAATTAAATTATTAATTTGAACACATTATAAGCGAAAAGTAAGATTCTCTGAAATCAAGGCACACAAGTAAACATGACCCATATGATGACACCATCCACGCTAAAAAAATATATAGTAATGATGCACTTTGGCCTTGATATATCTTGTGCGTTATCATTGGTTCCTCAGTTTTTCATGTTGATTTGCTCTGGTATTTTAATGTTATCAATTTCAAAATATTTCTCCTGTTCTTACAGGCTTTTAATCTGCGTTAATATTTTTTATTCTTGTATTGGAACCAAATAAATTCAACTGAACTGTTTGATAGATAGATTTAAAAAGAATTCTATAACGCCGGTTAAAACGAAAGTTCTCACTAGCGCTTTACAATATATTACACACTAAAGAGCAAAAATACAATAATAATAATAATAACAATAATAATAATAATAAAACAATAACAATAAAAATATTAAAAATAATAATCAAACAAGAAAAAGAAAAAAATAAATAATAATGATAAGAAAAGCAACCAACAACAAATCAAATAACAATCAAATAATAATCAAATAAAGAGAATTAATAATAATAATAATAATAATAATAATAATAATAAAAACGTAAAGATCGTAGAAGTCAAGCAGAAACTAAGGAGGAAAAGCAAGGGGAAAGAGAAAAGATTTGAGGCGAGACTTAAAAAGGTGAAAGTCCGAAATGGATCTAGCAGCAGGCGGGAGTGTTTAGGTGCAAGATAAGAAAATGAGCGTTTGCCGGGTTTGACATGCTTGAAACGAGGAAGAACAAGAAAAGGAGCAGTGGATTGACGGGTAATGCGAGTGGAATAAGTAAGGGTGATGTTAGAGACAAGATAGTCAGTGGCAAAACCGATTGGAGTGATGCGAGAACAGACTTTGGTACCAGTAACCATACGACATAGTTACCAACCGTCTCGCATCGTGCGGGACGGTCCCGCATTTCAAAGTGATTTTGGTTGAAACACGCATTTTGCAAAAACAATGCGTGATCATAAATTTGTCACGCATTTAGCACAGGTTTATGCGTGATAACGAATTACAGTATCACGAATTCAGAGGAAAATGTAGAAAAATATAAAAGCGGTCATGCAGTAACTTGATTCATTTGCAGTATTTACGTGAATACTTAATTCACTGACGCGTTACTAAATATTGATCAGTAGGCCTATGCCTATTAATTTTTTGTTTGTCTAAGTAATGAAATATTTGTGTACATAGTTCGGGTGCTCAAATTAAACGTAATGTACGTTAAAAATCAAATTGCACGAGGCTTTATCAAAATATTTTTTGTTTATGTAGGCCTATCCAGTATTGTCAACAAACACTACCTGAAATTTGTTATAAAACATCCTAAAAAATTGCCGGCGCCCCCAAAAAATAGCATGGGCAATTTGCTATAGAGCACATAAATTCACGTTATCTTGCGAGTTAGCTCCCCCTCCCTTTAATTGATCATCGATCCCCATCACTTCACCTTCGCTCCCCCTATTCAGCACCCCCCACTTCAAGACTCCTAAATACGACCTGTGTGTGGAGCCACGCATTTTAAACCTCTCAAGTTGGTAACTATAATACGAGCAGTAGAGTTGAGTAGTTTTTGAATGGGTCGGCTGTGCAAGACAGGCAGGGCATGGAGTAGTGAATTGCAAAAGTCCAATTTGGAAGTTATTAAAGCATGAACAAGAAAAATAACAGCAGTCTGAGAAAGGAAAGGATGTATTGGAACCAAATAAATTCAACTGAATTGTTGAGAAAGTTAATGGATCACAAAACGTTGTGCGAGTGCAAAATCCTTTTAACAATGGGATCACTGAAAACATTATGATAACTCTTTATTTTATATTCCACAGAATAACAAGCATTGGGCAGGATGGAGTTTAAAAACTCACCTTACATCATGTCCAACCAGCTATTTAAAAATCATGTTACATTATCATTATTTACACATTAACATCTCCAAGCAAACTAAAATAAATATAAAAATACAATATGAATTTAATTATTAAATACATTTGGAATTTTATGGACAAGACTGGCTTACAATGGAAATGTAGATAGGAAGATCACCAGAATCACTTAAGATCTGTATCCTAGCAACTGTAGCCTAATAGATAGTACTCATATTTAAGACTTGAAAATTTAGAAACACCCTATCATAGCAACCACATCCTACTAGTCATATTATCAAATTCAAAGGTGATGTTATTATTGTCCATGTTTTTATCACCATGAGCAACACAACTGTCACAAAAACAAAACAATGATGTGACCAAAACATAATTGCAATGCATGCCAAAGCTTTTCCTAAAAAGAATGTTTTTTATTCAAAAAATGTAATTTATATTTATCTATTATTTTAGTTGGTATGGCCATACTTCACTTATTTATTTAACTGAATATATTCAAATAATAAACATATTTTTAACAGGAAAAATAAACAATAAATACAATTATGTGATATAAAAACATGAAGATGTGAAGTTGTTATCAGTGGCTACAGCTGTAGGAATACACATGGAGATTCAGATACCAATGAGGTAAAATGGAATTTGAAAATAAACTGTACAGTATCATAGAAACCATTATCATAGCAACCACACCATAGCAACCATACCTTAGCAACCATCAATCTTCTTATCAACAAACAATATCTACCAAAATTCCACAATGGCACACAAACTTTATACAGAATTATAAATTATCATAACCATGATATTTACATTAAATTGTACGTATTTGCACACATATTTTTCCTTAATCAATTTCACTTCATAAAACAATCAGTATCATTTTTGGTATCCTTTTCAAATAATGTTTATATAAATGGCTTTTAAAAAATCGTTATATTTAATAATAAAAATTTTCAATAAGCTAAAGTTTTCAAAGAACATTTAAAGTCATTTTGTTTCAGCACATAATATTATCCAATGACTGTTTATTTTTTCAAGCACATGATCAAATTTATCCAATCACTTTTCATGATTCATTTCTTAACTAAATAAAATAGCTTAATAGCTGGTTTTTCTGAATTATTTATGAAAATGGCTACAAATACTACTACTCCGTAGATTTTTGTTATATATATATATATATACATATATTTATATACATATATATTTCTAAATGAAAACATTTCTAAACTTCTTGATATACCACATTATGAAACAATTTATATTAACAAAGAACACAATGAGGTTTAAGTCTCTATGCTTAATATTAGCATGAAACCATTCATGCATATTTGGTGTACATTTAACATAAATATGTACATATATAAAACAATGAAAGGTATGATTCTACATACTATGTAAACCTTAGAAAACAACAGTGCTGTTAACCTCTGTCCAGACTATCAAATTTTATTTGACAAAAAACATGTGATATGCCTAAATATGGTCATGATGACATCACATCATGACCATATATAGGCACATCATGACTAAATATGGGCATATAATACAGCAGTTTTTTTTGTCAAAGAAAATTTGATAATCAAGACAGAGCTTAATGGGCAGTAACATAAACAATGAGGCAAGGAAGCATAAATAATATGAGGCTAGCACAGCCAACACATTACATTTCATTTTCAAAATTGCTCAAGCAAATTTTACCATCACAAAATAATGCTAAGATTTTGGTTTCTTTGGGCACATAAATATCTTTGCGTCTGTGTAATTTTCTGTTACACTTTTATAGAATGGTGCATAATTACACAACATATGAATTATCCCGATACCTCAACAATTTTGACTGGAAAACTGGTGGAGATATTCTAGGTTGAAAAAAGAGCTGTGAAAAGGTGATAACTGCTTAATGTTCCATGATTATACAGCCCAAACGAACGAAAATCAATTAGGTTATGTATTATATAAACAAGGAAATTCCAACAATTTCTTTAATATAAACAAAATAGTTTTCTATACCTCCTACTTCCTCCTACTGTATATGCTCCGAACAAGATGTCTTTTAGAAAAACAAGAAATTATGTATTTTTTAGGTGAAATCAACGCAATATACTTTGAAAAAAATTGCTATAAAATATGATTGACAAGTTTGCAGCATATTTGAAATACAGTTTTCTGTGGCGAACATCACAAACAAGTACATAACTTTCTTCACACGGTATTTTAGGAGTACCTAAAATTGCTTGAAACAGTAGCTAATTCCGGAATGTTTCTACTGTGCAGTGCTTTAAAACCCTGTAAATTAAATAACACGGTTAAAGTCCAATAAGAACACTGTTTATGTGTGCTGTTTACACATATTGAGTATTGCACCATTCTTATAATCCCTATTTCCTATCAAGTTTTATGCAAAATAAAGGTTGTAAAACGATTATTACTCAAACTTAGGCTAATATTAACAGGTGGGAAAAAACCTGTGTGTTTATACAAACAGGCTAACATAAAATATACAAGCATGTCTGTACGTAACTGAAGAACATTAGGATGTAAACTTTAACCCAAAATTGTCTTTGGTTACACAATAGAGTATATGAAAATAAAAAGCATCAACATAAATAAAATGAGACTCAATATGTATATTTTTTCTACTTTAGTTTGATTCTACTTAAAGTGGCAGTTATGAATATTCTGTCAATGATGTAGTGAAGGCCCACTAGTAAAAAAAAACATTACAAATTCTCTTTGCAAAAGGCTTTCAATGGTATGCACTGCATTAGAAATACTTCAATTCAATTTATTCGTCATCAAACTATTTTTTTTAGTGTTCATTAGGCCCACATTTGGATGTTAAATTATATCATAGTGAAAAAAAATTATGAATAAATCTTGATCACAATACCCAGATACTGAGACTCCAAGCAATTAATCATGTGACTGACTCGTATTACTCCTGGATTATATCATGTTACTCCTTCATGGAACTGAATGATGTGACTTCCAGGAATAAATCATGGCTCCAAGTATTGGGTCAAGTGACTTCCAGGTATAATCATATGACTCCACCTAGGATTGGATGATGCAACTGTTTTGGACTGATATTCTGGACTGTAACTTACGACGTACAATATTGTCTCATGCAGTATTCACAAACAAACAGAAAAGAAATTTACAATTCACTCAAACGTGAGCTTCGACTTCAGGCCCTTCTGGTTTTGTAGTAAACCTAACCCTCGTTTGCCGGCCATTTCCGTTGTATTCTGTTATTTTTGTCTTGGTTGAAATTGGTATCAAGATGAGTATCTGGTGAAACAGTAAGGTTGATAAAGCTATTGCAAAACACCACAACCACTCAGATATATGAAGAGAAGTGGTGTTGAATGGGCCTTGGAATAATTCTACAAATACAACCTGCGAAACGGAAAATAAAAAAACTGTTTATAATCTAACAAATAGAGCAGAGTTGGGATTGGGTCAAACCACCTTTATTCTTTTTAATAAGGTTAGTCTCCCAGATTTGATGGATGGACTACCTTAGTTATATACTGTACGAACAGATTTATGTTTTGCCATTGTATAATGAGGTATAATCATATTTCCATTTTCTTTGTATGGATGGATGGATCTATTCGGTGTAAATACCAAGGATAACCCACAAAAGTCTAAAGAAGACTTATATCCTGTGAGGTCTCCTTCTGGTGGAGATTGGGCAGTACACCAGGAGACAATCTGCTACTCTTTTCCCAGTAATGTACTGCGTACTTTAACATGCACATGGGCCATAATACACATGGGACCAACGGTTTAAACATCTCATCTGAAAGACGGTGCGCTAGAGTAACTTGCATTTCAGCCCTCCAGCTGAAACACAAGGACAGCAGCGATGGGAATTGAACTGGGGACCTAGAGATCTCCACGGTTCAGCACACACACAGTGGCTACCACCAGTTTAGCTAACTGAGCTAAGCTGTTCCCTATTAATCTATTAATTAGTTGTCCTATAATATAGCTAATAAATAAACAAAATCACAAAATAAGTTAGTAAATTAATAAAAAACAAACCACTAAAATTCTTGTGTATTTATCCTACCTGTAAAGCAATTGATATAATTAAAAACAAAATCCATTTGATTTGGTTTCCTTGCATCTCAGATGTGACATTTTTTTCAGCATAAACCTTTCTTGTGTTAACAGCATTGAACACCGTTATAAGAACAGTCACATTAAATAATAGCGTCATGTGTACAGATGGAGCAGACCGCACCCCTGACATCCTTCCACTTTCAACGTCAAACAACATCTCCTTATCACCTGTTATTAAATTGGAAGAACAAACAAAATTATTATTATTATTATTATTATCTTTATTATTATTATTAATTTTTTATTCCATTTAGTGAAAAAACAGTCGTATGTCATCAAAAGGTTTCCTATTCTCAACATATTATTCTTTTATAAAATGTGGCAAAGACAAGCTAAACCAGTCACTCGTCCCAAATGGCCATAAATGGAGATAATGGCCAAAACATGCTGGAATGTCAATATGTTTGAAATCTATTAATACAGGTTTGCAACGAGTGATTCGTTTGGCTTGTCTTTGCCACAAATACAATATTTAATAAAAATCCAATGAATGAGCTTTAGCTTGGTGGTGAAAATGCTTGCCTCCCAATCCCAGGGTTTTGGTTCAAATCCTGACAAGCTCATAATAAGATTTAGTGTCAATAAATTTATCAAGACAAGCATATTACAAGATGCTCTCTACATTGTAATCCCATTTTCTATGCTTGGCGCATGCTTCTAAATTTATAAAATAAAAAATAAATATATATAGAGAGTAACTTCATTGGATTTGGATCTAGATAACTAATCAGTAAAATTCCTTTTGGACCATCACACTGGTTGGGCCATATTCACAGTCTCTCAGGTTGCCATGAAAGTGAATAATAATATATAAATAAAACCTACTAAAACACACAAAAAAGCATCCTACAATAACCAAACAAAAAAACAGTGGCTAGTCAAGACAATCAAGAGATAGGAGAAGCATTGAAACAACTCCATTTGCCAGCAATTTGATACCCATTTGAGGGTTTGCTAGCTCACAACACACAGGAGCTCTAGTAGCAATGGCAACTGACATTAAAGAAGCTATATATATATATATTTTTAATAGTGAACTTTCATACATCTTTCATACACACATAGCTCTGACATAAATATTATTAATATTCACTCACCAAGAAAAAAAATGATTAATATAACCACAAGCTGGTAGATACCATGTCCAATTATATAGCGTAGCTTGATGCGAGACAGAAGTGGTTTATACCAGCCAAGGGATGTACGTTGCATTGCTATTTTACTTGGTGTCTCTACCATCAAAATGACAATCACGGCACAATTGACGATGAAATACAACCACAGCAGATGGCTGGACTTGAACGGCATTCCCTAAACAAACAAAAAAGCAAGATTTCTATCATCACAATCCTATGCGCAATTCCGTAGTGTTTCTTGGAGCTTACACTCTCTGGAAACTGAAGCAGTGTTGACATCAACTAGTAGAATCCCAGGTATCCTAACTTGGATGAAGCCCCTTCCAGGAGATGTTTAAGTGAGTTTTCTTAACACATCTAATAAGATTTTGCTGTGCATGGGGATACACATCTGCACTGACTTACGGGACACAATTGACTATAGAATACTGGGCTAGGCTAGGCTAGGCTAGTAAAAACATGCAAGTATCGTCAATTTGCGGATTCTTGTTTGATCGCGGGAGCGGGGGAGACTTCCCGAATTCCAGGAGACTCAGGCAATCGCGGAAGACTTAAAACCCCTGGAATTCTGTTACGTAAAGCAACAAATCCTTTGACTTGTGAAATATTTTAAAACAAACTAAGAATAAATGTTGCAACAAATATAATAATTCTACAATATTTTAGATTAGACAGGATTTCAGAAAAACTAAGAAATGTGGGTTTGACAGTATGTTATATAAATTATGGCACTGCAAGCAAGTTCCTGAATATGTGTGTACATATACCATAAATCCAGATTAATAATATCTTAATTTTGACTAAATATACATATTTAATGCCCTATATATCCTCCTCAAATCAATGCAGACAATTTATCAACAAATCCACATTATTATTCAGATCAACTTACTGTTGTACATGCTGCACATATGGAAACTGCCAACACCAGCGAGAAGGCAAATGAGAGCTGATATTGCAGGTATTTTGCAGCTGAATCCCAAATATGTCGCCCCCACTTGACAGCTTGCTTGATGCTATGGAAGCTGTCGTCTTGCAGAATGATGTCTGCTGCCCCCTTGGCATCCAGTGTTGCTGTAGTACCCTGGGGAAAAACCCAGTGACACACGTCACAATGCACTCCTTATCATCAAAGTGCGCTCTAGATAACACTTTCAGTCTCTGCATAACATTATACTGAAGCAAAATATGAGAAAAAGTCAATGACAAAAAGCAATTTGATAACAGTATGTTGACAACATTACATTTTGTCAGTGTCAAATCAATACAGTAACATTATGTCTGAGTCTGGAATTCAACAGGGAGCATGTTACATCATTTTTGATGACATGGTTAATAATAAATGCTGTGATCCACTTCAACTGATTAATTTTGTTAATATTATTTTGGTGGACCTATATTCATCCTGTTATTGAAAAAAAAAATAACATCCCGACTTTTCCATTCTACAATTTGCTAAGCAAAGTGTGTAAACTAATGAAACACAATGTAAACTAATACAATGTCGCCTTTTGTATCAATTTTTAATATAATTTGAAGGTAGAAATCAATTTAGTGATTTGAAAGAACAGAATTGTATAAACGATCAAATTTGATTTTTGTTACTTATTATATATTATCCCATCAATTTGTACCATCAAACAAATTCTATTTGAGGTACACTACATAATATTGAGAGCTGTAGCAAATAGTGGCTAACACTCCAACAATTTTAGGTGTGTTCTAATTATATAATGTTGTATGTTAATACATGGAAATTGAATAATTAAAATATGAACATATTAAGTCTTATATTTTATTGCAGAATATGAATTAGTTACAACATTTGGTTGGAAGTAAAATAGTTTAAATGTTCCAAACATCCATTTCCACCCTCCCACTGGCACACCTGAAGGGCAAATTTCTCTACCTGGCCTCTTGAACGTGATAAACTTTGATTAAAATCACGGCTGTCCATCGCCAAGTCATCCTTTTTTGGGTCGAAGACACTTGTTTCCACGGCAACATCATATGCAGCATTCATGTCGTCACCTGTCAGCATGCGAATAGTAATGCCTCCAGCTTGGCAAGATTCAACAGCAGATTTAGACTGAAAAACATAATTATATCAGTAATGAAAATCATCAACAGACCAACATAATGTCTTGTATCTGAACGCTATCTTTTCGGATATAATTATGATATCATAAAACAGACTTTAGCTTTGAACTCATTTAATTTTTCATGATAAAATAATAATAGCAACATTTCTTAGACTTTGCCAATACATAATGATAATCACAGACAGATTCAAGATTGAAGGGAAATACCTGCCAGGCAGCCACCTGTCCAAAATAAAAAAAATGCAGAACAAAAAAAAACTACCCTCCAAGATTTAGCCTGGGAGTGCCCTTTCCGGCCATCAAGAAGTTCCGTAGGCATAAAATTTTGTACCTCAGACGCAGCTATGGAGGGGCTGAAGTGATATGGCCCCTCCATCTGTAAAATTGACATTGTGGGCCCTCTATTTTGAATTCTTGGATCTGCCAGAGTTAATAACAAATTATGCAACTTCTACTTACATTAGTCCTTATGGGGTTGGACATGGCTATAACAGATATAAATGTCAAATGAGCTACGTTGTCATATTTAGAAGAATATTTCATGTTTGGTTTGTGAGGGAAATCTCTGAATGCCAGGCACACCATGCGTAGTCCTGGTAATGACATCTCTTTGAATTCTGCTTTGAGCTGTTCTCGCATCTCGTTTGTCAACTCTTTTGATTGGCCGTCAGCATCTAAAATATAAGAGCAACTGGAAAACGAAATACAAAAGTTACTGCATGGTTACAATTTGTCATTTTGTGGATGAGAAACAAATAAAAACAAGTCATTACAATTTACAATTAAACAACATATACACAAATTTAGTAACACCATGCAAATAAATGAAAAATTATAAGCACAAAAAAAGGAGAGTCAAAGGAACGCCATTATTCCTGACAGATACAGTCGTAGTCGTAAAAAGTTACAGTGGATCAACCACTGCATCTGGAAAAATGTAGAGTGTGCATATGCTCTCAACATTTATCTAAAAGGTTTTGCATTTTTTCAAAAAAAGTTAATATTAAGATCAACATTATTAACAAAAAAGCAAAATTTGTAATTAATGAAATATTGGTTATTATTATGAAACATTATATTAGGGTGTATCTTCGTTATACTTGGTTATTGCACTTAGTAATTAAATGCTTATGATGCACAGATCAACATTTACAACAAAAATATTTCTAATTAATAAATTCGCAATTTTTAATAATCCCATCCCAAAAATACACATTTTAGCAAATTGAGGATGTATTTTGAGATGTATCTGACTTGAACAAAATAATGCATTTAAGATGAATTAAAGTAGGTGGTTTTGCTAATCAATTTTATAAATCTAGCCCCAGGTGATGCAGTGAGGGAATCAATCACGAAACACCTGGTGTCTTGAGTGTAGTCACATTCACCTATCAGGAATGGACTCTACCAAGTCAAAGATTAATGAGATGTACTAGTCCAACAAATTGTGACACAGCGTATAAATTTAAGGCTAAAAATGGTTATATTGCCCACTGCAAGCGACCTTTGAATAAAATCCAATACATCTCTCCACTGCTTCATATGTAATGCACTTTATCAAAACACGCTGATATACTGTAAGTACTGTATTTCAGTTTACAAATTTTCTGCTTCATTAAATTCTTGATAATTTTTCTCCATTTCTGTATGTCTTTCATAAAAGCTGCTATTAAGCATAAAGCATAATCCAAGTTTTTCTGTGCAAAGCTGTTCAATTAAAGGGAGATTACTTGGAACAAAATGTACGAAAGAAATAGCTAACCTGTTGAAAATAATCTCCACGGCCCCTTTAACGTGCAGCCGCCAGATTGGTTCTGCATTTGCATTTTCAGTTTCGATGAATGTTCCCATAAATTTACTATTTGAATCAAATGTGTATGTTTGGTCAACTTTTTCTTCCGGCCATTTATTGCGTATGGTCCTGTAACAGATCTCACCGATAAAATGTAGCAGAGCGCAGTCAGTCTGATCCCCAACTTGGTGTAGCTTGCTCCCAATTTGCTACAAAAACAATTTGAGATATTTTTACATTGCAAATAACTAATAATGCATTAAAACTGTAATTATATAAAATTTTGTTTTTATGTGTTTATTGTTGTTTTACCATTATGGATGTACAGTAAAACTTGTTAAGTCGATCTTATTTTACATGCCAAATTGTTGTGTTTTCCATTAATTAAAGATCTGTAAGTCGCTTTTTATCTAAGTCAAACAATTTTTCAATGCCACTTTAGATTCGATTTTGGCAAGTTCAACTTTAATAGTTTCTTCAATATGTAACATTCAATCTGAATTATCTTTATTAGCATAAGCAACCATGTTTATATAGTGGTAATTGAATATTTATGTATGTACATAAATAAATAAAATAATAATAAATATAAACATAGTTTATAAACATTGTTGAATAAGTATCCACATTCTTTATTTTTCAAGTGCCATACATGATACACGCTTCAGCAGTCAAGAGCTTCCAATACTGGCGATCTGGCGATTAGGACAATTAAATATACAGAATAGCACTTTAAGACTAATAACATATGTTACCATGAATATGGTTCACCACTACTGTGGGATTTTTCTAGGGTTGTAAAGCAGTGGTGACAGCTCTTGTTTATCAAGTGTTCAATTAATCAATATTGGAATCACTTTTGAGACAGTGGTACATGAATATTCAGTGCCTCCAAGTTAACAATAAAAACATCAGAAATATAAAACTACAAATATAAAATTAAACATAAGAGTTTACAACAAAATGTACTTGTTCATGTTTATTCGGTGTATCCAAATGAACAAAACACAATACAAATTGACAAATACAAAAATAAAACTAAACTAATAAGTTGGTAAAATTTCATTGGCAGTGTTGTTCTTTTAATTGTTTATTGAGCAAAAGACACTATCAAAATAAAAAAAAAACTGTTATTTCATGAAGATGACCGAAAAAAAAAGAACATAAATAGTGATATTATTAAGTATCCCACACATAATTAGAATAACTATCTACTTCAGAAACACACTTGTACTTACATATATTTGAGTAGCATATTCACTATTGATGGCAATTCCTTCTTGCAAAAGTTTTATAATTTTTGTATTAATTCTTCCTAGATATCTGTTGACAAATGGACCGAGAGTTTCCGACATGCTCCGTCGCTTCTCAAAATCGTGCATTCTCTCAGCAATGTAGCATTTCTTCACCTCCATATTACTTTGGGTTAGAACACCAGTCTTGTTGCTACAGATACATGTGATGTTACCCATCAGCTCACACGCATCCTGATTGCGAAACAATAAATTGTCCTCCAACATACCCTGTAAATGTACATAGAGTAATTATACTTTCTTTATTGCTTACTATGAGCAGAGACAACACACAATGGCTGAATGTTGTATCAGTTCCATGATGATAACACCCACACCCCAGAGACTGCTGGTCAATAGATCTATAGTTATTGCTGTTAAACTGGTAGTAAGGCAATGTGTGTGCACTCAACCATTAAGATTTGCTGGCTCCTGGTTCACTACCGTCCAGTAGTGTCTACAGAAATTTACCAGTGAAATGTAACAAGGTAGTCAAAACCAAAGGGTTGCTTAGCGCGTCCAGTCTGGTTCCATACTAAAACTCTAGTTGGTTGAAGGTAGAGATGTTTTGGTTTAAGATAGTGAAAAATGTGCATTTTGGATTGGGGAGACATTAGCAGGTGCCAGAAAATTAATAAGGTTATTACTAGTTTCTCTATCCAACTGAACCACTACAAACTCCACCCTTTGACCTTGTAGAAAATTGGTAGACCCCTGTTAAGCAATCCTGGTACTGCCACTGTAGCAAAGGTGGAATGGCAATTTGTAGTGCAGATGAAGAGCACAGTTTTTATGTGCTTGTACTTGCAGCATGTCCAAGATATATTGTGATGTTGGCTATGTAATGCCATGTACTATTAAAGACCAGTATTGTAGTATCAAACTCAATTAACTATTACAATCTCAAAATAAATAAACAAATAATTATACGAACCTTTAATGAATATGCTATGGCTCTCTTTACAATTAACAGTTGGTTTCTTGGTCGGATAAATATATACAACATTAAAGATATGATTGCAAATTCCACATAGTCCTTTAAGTAAGACCAAGTCCAGTGAAGATCCAAGCGGACAAAAATTTCGATAGTAAAGCGAATTATAAACAGCAAGAGACAAAAAACCACTACAGATACACCTGAAAAATATGAAAAACCAACAATGAATCACTACAATAATAATAGTTATACCATAGTAATAATAAGAGTAATGAAAATAACAATAACTACAACAAAAATTGTCAGGTATGCAGTAGTTTTTGTCTAATAAAGATCTATGGTGGATATGTGGGCCACTCTTACCACTAGGTTATTTAAAATAATATAAAATAAATCATCTTTTGCTAAATCAAGTTAGCTTTGAGGCCCAAAGCCTGATGATGAACAGTTGAAAGCCAGACAGACTGTAACACATTTGCCTTTAAGGCTGAAACATTTACAGCCGGTCAACAATGCAAGCTAATGTAGACGTAAGAGAACAGCATGACACTTGAACTCACAACCATGATGTTGAAAACCTGAATGGGAAATGCTATGCTAACCTTTAACCTCCGCCTGCATATAATCATATCTGCCCCAGAAGGTGCTGTATACCTAGTCATGCTGCAGCACATTTCACAGAGACCAATACATTAACTGCCTTAACATCCATACCAGGAATTTATACATAAGGAAGGAGAGACAAGTGTAAAAATATGCCTTTACAAAATGCACAGCAAGGAAGTTGAACCTTGACCTAAAGGTTGATAGCCCCTACCATACCTGCTATGCTAATAAGTCCAACACAAAATTAATAAACAATCCACTCACCTAAATATTTGGTTATGTTTGTAATTTTCTTGAGTTTTGAGGTAAGGACCGCTTTATTGCGAGTATCTTCTTGCGGTAGTAGTGAATCCTGATTGTTGATGACGTCCCCTCTACTGTCGAGGGAATCGAGGACGCCGTTACTTCGGTCAGAATCCACATGATCCGGAGAGTTATCATTTGTGCCAACCTCTTCTTCTATGGTTGTTTGCTGCGTTTTCCTTCTACGCTTTCGGAATCGTCGTCGCCCCTCATCTTCTTCTGTATTCTGCCGACCGTAGTTCCTGGAGATACTACGTACCACAATTCGTGGGATTCCAACTGATTTAGCATCTGTTAAAAATGTTAGTCATACCAGTTTAGTCATGTATTTACTTGAAACATTAAAAAACAATTCTTAATAAAAAAGATGAATCATATCTAATTTGGACCCATTCCAAGCGTCACATATTGTGTAGAAAGACTGTATCATCAACTTTATTATGAATCATACAAACATAAGTAAGTATGAGGAGCAAACTGGTTAACTTATCCAATGCAGCTTTAGCAACATAAATAATCAAAGACTCACCAAAAAAACCAATAAATGAATGATTTAAAAATAACAAAAAAAAAACAAAAAAAAAAAAACATTAATAATAATAATGTTAAAATGATATTGATGATATTAATAACCAGGTAACCAGGCCTGGAAAATAATATTTTTGTGCTTCCGACCATGAAAATTATCTTGATCAAATGCCTCCAGCACCAAATGTTATCTTTACATTATTATAGCTAAACATTAGCACATTTAGCAATCTACAGTACTTTTACCTTTTAACCGCAATATTGATAATGGTATTAGAGAATATGGTTTAATATTTATACTCATCTGATCTGATAAACATCTGTAGAAAGATTTTCCCATTTTATTTTAAATTTCAATGCAAGAAAAAGTTTGTCTATAACAGCACAATATTTCCAAATACTACTAGGGAGTGTGTTCAGCTGTGACTGAAACACAATACTTAGCTCGTGTATGGACACGCTAGGAAGATTTCCAAATATTTCTATGAATTTATGTAGGACCAAAATGCGAATAAGAATTATTTGGCCAATTTCAGGTATTTACTTTTCTTGTATTTTTGTTATGTGTGTGTGACTATAAATAAATTTAAATCAAACAACAATATGAATTTAACTGACCTTCATAATCCCCAACAGTGTTCTTTCCAACGACTGTCACAACAAGTTTTGTACTTCCCTTCCTTACAACAGATCCTAGTGTCCAATTAAATGTTAATAACAATTATTTTACAACAGAACAAATAATGATTATCATCTGTAGTAATTTGTAAACACATTACAACAATTTGTTAGATGTTATTGCAGTGATTTAACTTACCTGCATACAAGAATGGATCGTTCTCTTTCTTCTTCATTTTGACTCCTGATTTTAAAGGGGCAGTTTCATCAACCTCTAAGTTCTTTGCAGTTATTATAATACCATCAGCAGGAACCACATCACCTTTAAAAAAATTACATTGAATTTAGTTTATAAAGTACCATAAATTGACAAATAACAAGTAGATGTGTTTGTTGCTAGGAAAGGCTAGGCCAGATGGCAACACTATTTGAGCACCTGTGAGTCATGTACTGTACCTGCTAACCACTGCTTGTCGGTGGTCTCAAATTGCAGGTAAACGGTGCGATAGTGTTGGTTCCTCTGCGTTAGTCTGTTTCAGTATTTTTTTAGCTTGGTTAGTTCAGTTGCCTTGTAGAATAGATTTTGTTTTTTTTTGTTTTTGTTTTTTCTGTACAGCGCACAGAGACCATGTATTATGAGCTATAAAACATTTTATATTAGAATTATAAAGTACCATAAATTACAAACACATAGAAAATTACAATAAAAAAAAAACATTTTATACTAGGATAGAGTATAACATGAAATAATGTTTAAATAAAAAAAAAATCCCAACATTAAGAAAAATTCTTTAAACCATTTTCAAGAAAGTGACATGTCCATCAAAGCTGATCATTTGCAGCTATTATATAAAAAAAATATTAACATATTTTTTTTTTTTGAATATACATTTTTCAACATTGATCCTAAACGATACTCAACAAATTATTATGTTAACTTTTTGAAGTACTCAACTTATTATTACATTTTTTAGCATGGCTTGATGATTACATATTATGGTATCTTTATTCAAATTGTTTGTACATAAAACAGTATCTTGTAGAAATAAATCTGAATTACAAAACTGAGTTGTTAAATATTAATGACAAGAAATCACAGATACATCACATCAAAGCAGCAGTGATAGCAGTTTATAGAGAATTTGATTATTCTCTCTGGGCAAGCCGCTAACCTGTCTTTTTGAATTTCATGTTTGTGTTTTGTATTCTGTATAACATGCCGAATTTATAATAAATAAATAAATAAATAAGTGATTAAAATGTGAATTAAGGTATAATAATAATAATAATGGTAAAAATTGCACCAAAAACATCACAAAGAGGGAGCCAAGCCTGAAAAATTTAAATTGCAGCCTCAAGACAATGATGAGCCTGAATTGGAAACGGCATCCTGCAGTGTTCAGCTATAAATGTAGGCGTGATCAAATGGAGTTAAGAAGTTTGGTTGTAGGTGGGAGCAAACTATTACTGAACCTTTTGGTTTTACATTTATAATTTTGATAGCTGCATGGCGTAGAGGCATATGGTGAGCATGTCTAAGTCGGAACCATGGTTTGAAACGATCTGTTTGGGTGCATTTGCTGGCAAATTTGGTACATAGCTGGACCCTGCGGAAGGCAAGGGTCTCCAATCTGAGCTCAGACAGTGCAAGATCATAGGTTTCATATTTACCCACCATGCATTTACATGCCCGTTTTTGAACACGCTCGATAAGGGATTGTAAATTTGTTAAGCCAAAATGCAACACAAGCGCAGCATATTCACTATTGTAAAGTACTAAAATTTGCAGTAATTTATACTGTAATTACATTTCTATCAATTACAAAGTATGTCAACGATGTACCTCACAGGAAAAATGGCTCATTGTAGTGAGGAAGGGACTGACTGGTGGTATACACACTAGAATCGCCTGTTTTTTAAATGTAAATTGTAATAAGTAACCGATATTTATGGAGGTAATGTTATTGTAATGGTGTCAACAAGTGCTATTATATGTTTGTTTACAATTCAAATGGTTTTTTAGATCCTTTACAATTCATGTTTATAATCCTTTTTAACTGAGTTTTAATGTCAAAACAAAACAGTTTTTGTTTTGATATTTATTAAATTGAATACACTTTTTTAAAAAGAACCAGTAAAATTTTGCACAGGCTCAGTGTTTTCTTTGCCAATTTCAGGATCAAAATGTTCTTATCTTGTTTTTGTTTTATACACACTCTAACATAGAAAATTATCATTGTACAAATTATATTACTGTATTGTATTAATAGAGGGTATTACATAGTAACACCTACTGCACATAGGTACAGATATGATTTTTTATTTTAATGAAAACCTCATTTGACATTTTACCTCAGTCTTATAATTTCTTCTTACAGTATTTTGTTTTTAATTTTTAAGCAATTTCATCCTCACTGTTTTTATACAGCTAAAAAGTGTATGTTTGAGATCACAACCTTTCTTATATAATTTAAATCATCCTAATTAACACAAAAACACTTCTTAGTTTCTCACCCATAAAAATCTTATCAAAATTGCCCTTGTTTTTCAGCCAACTGAGGTAGATCGTAATGGATAGAGGCAAATATGCAGATATGAAACACATCTCAAGGACAAAGATTATGAAGTCTGCTTGTATTGCAGTCCCCCACTGTGCTCAATGAGACAAATATCAGCAGTGGAGATATATAATGTATCCTATGGCAAAATAGTACAGATCTCACAGGACGTATCCTGGTGATGTAAATAAATTTATATTCCCATTAAATATTATGTCCTTATTGACAGTTCATATACTTTCAAATAAGACACAAAACTTTAAAAAAAAGTTGATTTATGAAGATACTGTATAGAAGGTCATGGAAGGGACCAGGAAGGAAGCAATACCAAGCGACATTTGTGGTCTTCAGGAAGACAATAAAAAAACAAAAAACATATTTCTATGGGAAAACTATTTCTTCACAAGGTAAACGAAAATTAAAATTTTGGTACCCAATAAGCATGCATGTGTTGATACAATGGTGTGTGGTAAGATGTTTTAGTCAATACACTAGGTTCCAGTTTTCATGTTTGAATTTGGCCTTATTATATCTTTCTTCATCTATACGTCTGGATTATGAATTGTAAATATGTACTGTAAATGCTCGAAAAAATGCCGCAACAAACCTGGTTTATTTTGCTAAGCACTGCTCTCGAATAAGCGCCGCGGCACGCTTAATTGAGAGCATATTATTGCCCTGTGCGTTATGAAACAATTTGAGAAGCAAGATTTTAAATACAATGTATACAGTTTTAAAATGAATAAATAACACAATGAAGACACAAACGGCCTTATAAACGTTTACTTAAGATGATATAGGACCTATGATAGGGCTAATGAACAATGGGAATATGTGAGATAAATAACATGGTAATGGGCATGAAAAGCGCCACGCCAATATTTTTTATAACGCTGCTCTCGAATAAGCGGATCGTTTTAGGCAATCAATTTTTTCTTTTTCTTTCTTTTTTTTCTTCTTTTTTTGTTTACTTTCCAAAAGGAGAGGGGGGTGGGCGAACCCCTAAATCTGCCCCTGCATATGAGGCTTTAAGTGAAGTTGTGTTTTGGTCGTGAGACCAAATCTAGCCAATGACAAGAATTGAACCCAGGACCCTGGGATTAGCAGGTGAGCATCTTAACCACCAAGCTATTCAACTACACTCTGAAGTGTAACCCCACTCCACCACACCCCCCTCCCCGAAATTTATAGTACTGTTTGTTATCGACATCTCTTACCAGTGTACAACGAGACAACATCTCCAACAACAAGCTTTGTAACGGGAATCTCTTTGCGTAATCCATTGCGAGTAACAAAGACTTTAGCAGCGAGTGCCTCCTTCCTAAGAAGCCGATTGACTAGGATTACTGTTCGTTCCAAAAGTATATCTTGCACAATATCAAATGACAGAATAATAAGAACAAGAACCAGACTAGAAAGTGAAAGACACCACTCTCTTGATATACCTAAAAAAAAATCAAAACGAACAAATATTTTAACAACAAATAGCAGTATGATAACTATTAAAGACAGTAAATATCAAAGTTTCAAAATTTCTCAGAAAGCAAGTTATATATTAAAAATATCATCAATATTCTTAGAGTTGAATTGGTGGTACACAGTATTCATTCATTCATTCTTTATTTAGCCATTTATAAAAATCACATTACAATTTGCACATACAGTAAAATAAAAATTCACAATTACAGAATAAATTTTTGTGAACGCATATTTATGCTTCTATTCCTGTTGAAAATATAAATATCCATATATTAAAAATATCATCAATGCTCCTAGAGTTGAATTGGTGGTACATATTATTCATTCATTCATTCATTCTTTATTTAGCCTTTTATAAAAATTACATAACAATTTGCACATACAGTAAAATAAAAATTCACAATACAGAATAAATTTTTGTGAATGCATATTTATGCTTCTATTCCTGTTGAAAATATAAACATCCTGATTTCCTCATCATATGATTGGTTGTGAGGCCACATCTCTTTAAAAAATGTTGTATCGTAAACTGTAGATTTAACTGCCACCCTAGTCATCAATCACCAAAAATTTGATGGCATGAAATGAATATAAAATAGGTTAGAATAATTACCTCTGCCATGGTGGTTTCACCGCTGTCTGTCTGTATGTTACAATATTATGCAAAACTAATGAATGGACTATCATAAAATTTAATGAAATTAAAAATATAGGCCTTAGTCTAGAAAAATTCTTAAGTTTTAGGGTGGATGGTCATATCTAGGTCACAAACAAAATCACATTTTACCACCAAATGCAAAAACGTAAAAAACAATCTTCATATATGTTAGTTGAGAGGTACTGTACATAGTAGAGGTCTAAAAAAATAGATGATCACATTTTTGCCAAAGGTCAGGGTCACAGAAAGATATTTAAAAAAATGATTTTTCTAAGGTACAGGGCAAAGATATGCATTCAATGTAGTTAGTCCTCTAGTTTCTATTGTACTATACTGTAGTTGCTAGCTTAATTATATTTCAGATATTTTTTATTTAAATAGTATAAACATTTTTATTCTAGAAAGAAAACTTCCAATAAATTAAAAGTAATCTCATGAAATGATGTATCCAGGGATTTTAAATGCTGAGGTTTTGGCAGGGATGTGTAAGGGAACAAATCATTATTATAATATATTGGCTTCCTCTAAGTTAATGAACTAAGTGGCTGTAGGCACCATGCCTCAACAGTTTTTATTTAAACTAATTAATTCATGCACTCGATACGCACCACTTAATATTCAGCAAAACATACCACCTCATCACAAAATCACACTTCACTGCACACATCGGTTATTGAGTCACAAAACAGACACTTCACACAAACATAATATTCATAATAATGACAAAAATTTAGCATTCTAGCACGTAGGCATGTTGTTTGACATGGAAATGCAAGCAGATCAAGCGAAGTGGCCTTGGGGAGGGACATGCATTTGAGAACCTGGTAGGATCCTGCATTCTTTGATGTTTACACAACTTTACTATAACAATTCTATAAAAAAGAGGTCAATGGTTTATAGTTTCATAAAGAGAAGATTGAATTATGAAATATACTTTATGTTTATACTCATCATTAATAATTAACTTTGTAATTCCGAGAAAAAAAGAGATAAACTAAATGTCCCATCTAATTTAAGAGTTCGGCGGTGATGAAATGACAAAACCATGCCACTACCAAGGCATTCCGTAACACTGCTACTGTTAAGTGCCCTTCCTTCCTCAACTCCACTATGTCCACAATGACCGGGGTAGTATTATGTGAAGCGCTTAAAGGCATTGTGCATAAAGCGCTATATAAGAGCGACATATTATTATTATTATTATTATGTCTGGTGAACAGATTTTGAAAAACATTGCACCTCTCGATGGACAGAAATAAGACTAATTGAAAAGCATAAATTTGCCATTCACATTAACCATAGTGAATAGTTATTCTATTTTTGTACCTATAAATTATAAAAAAAATATCTATATCACTGAAATTAAGGATTGCCAAAACGATTTTTAAATTGTCATAATGAGAAGTTTAATTCTAAATAAATATTCCCATGAAGTTAAGGTTATTCGGTAACTGAGCAGAATGTGTGTAGGCGGGCCATGACATGCAGTAAATGATAATCATTAGTCAACATTATTAACAATAACAAAAGTAATTCCACAAAATTCTAATCAATCCATATAGTGTATACCACCACCCTGTGCCTGGATACTAAACAATATGCATGTATGGGTGATTCCATTATTTTCTTTTATGTTTGAGGGTAAGTTCAAGGAAAAGAATTGAATTTATATTACCTGGATCTTGTCCTTTGATCTTTTCTTCCCAAAAGTTAATCTTTTCTTTCTTAGATTATTATGTAACATTTCATTAAATTTTATGATGATCCATTCCTCAGTTTTTGCACAATATTGCTAACAGACAGACAGGAGTCTGGTGGAGGTACAATAATAATTGAATATAAGTCCAATATATTATCAATTTAAGAGTAATACTTACTTTCATCTTCTTGAAGAAATGAAACCCCAAAAGACAGTAGACATAGAACAAAAACAGCGACTAATGCCCAGTTCTCAAATAATGTGGTTACAATTAAACTTAAAATACTTGTTCTTGCTCTTTCTGTTTTACGAATGTTCTCTCCAAACTGTGTTCTATGTAAAGCTGCATCTGTTTCGTGAATTCCTATTAAAGACAGCAAAACAGCAGCATAGAAAATCATTAAAATAATACTAGTTTATAATACTACTAATTAGCTGAAAAACACAGAGAACAATTAACTGAGATAATAATCTTTTTGAGATAGTAGATTTGATATTCAAGGCAAAATTCTCATGGTCAAAGAACAATTACAAAACCAAGCCAACTATACAATCTGACAATAATGTAATTAGGTTATTGCAGGCTTATTAGCAAATAAATTTAATTTATGAAAACAACATTGTAGTGCATCATAATGACATATTCACATTTTTTCATAACATTATATATTTCAACAGTTTATTGTAGTTTACACATAATTCTATAAAACAAAAAGTAAATTGCACTACACAAATGTTAATCACATTCAAAAATGGATGATTTGTAATTACATACAGTCCAACACTTACTGCGTAACTTGATATTGTTGGAAACAGTATGATACAGCATTCCATATTAAAAACAAGAATCAAGGAATAGGGGTGTTCTATATCACGTGCAGGAATGAAGTATTTCATTTGTATCGTACTTAATGATCATTTCCATTAATATTATTATCATATTTGTAATATCATCAAGAAACATCTGATGATGACAGTGCTAAATAATGTGCTTAGCTGTTAAGCCCACATAAGCTTGGCTACACTACATTAGTGTAGGCCAAACTTTAAGTGGGTGGATACAATACAAAGAATAATCTCATGATGACATATTTTTTTCATAATACGTTATATAACTATGTGTTGATGAATTCAAAATTTTACAATTTATTATCATTATATTATCAGGTAGCATCATTAATGACAAAAAAACCAAATTAATTTAGTTAAAAAAAATGTTGACTGCATTCATAATATAAATCTTGAATTTATCATTTAATGCTTATTACAAATTTCAACATCCTGTGTAATACTTTACTGTGATTGGCTGTCATTCATCATAATCCTCATAATTATGACTATAAGAACGTGTTTTGGAACTAATACTATAAAAAATAAATATATCATCCTTTACAGACAGTAAGAAACTTTAAAATTAAATTAATTCACAATAATTTTTTAAGAATAGTACTGCACATACCATCATCCTTGTTGCTATTAAGTCCGCTACATAGCATCTTATCATCGCCAAACTTCTCCTGGAATAACTGCAACGCCCGGCCAACGTCTCTAGTGTGCATCAGCCGCTTTAGCTGGTCTTTGGTAAAACGGAATTGTGATTGCGATCCCATCATCTCGTACGATTCTTGGTTGAAATTCATCCCAATCCTGTCGATATTAACCTTGCTTATTTACACATCTTTACGTCACTCACTGAAACAATTATAAATACCAGGTATTATTAACTTTTAAGTAACAATTAGATTATTACCTTCACCAAGGAGGTTATGTATTTATCGCTTTGCCTGTCTGGCTTGCTTGTCTGCCTGCCTGCTAGCAAGATAACAAAAATACTAATGAATGAATCAACATAAAATTGAGTGGAGTGGCTCATATTGATCTAAGGAAGAAGTAATTCAATGTTGGGGTAAAAGGTGAAAGGTGAAGGGACAAGATCAAGGTCACAGAAATTCACAATTTTCTTGAACCTTAACCCGAAGCATTAAAAAAATGATTGAATGGCCTGCCTCGCCTGTAATGCGTGTATTATTCTGCGTTTATGCACAGCGCATATGTACTGTATGCACTGTATGGTGTGACTGCTGTAGTTAGTAAACTGAATTATAATTAATTTAGTGCTGAATACTGAAAAATGGAACAAATTTAAGGTCTCACCACGAAATGAGATGCATCATAGTGAAATCATATTGAGATATTCACCAAAATAGGTCAAAGTCAAAACTATTTGCAAAATGTTGATTTTAATGTTTTGAAATAAATTGATACTTATATTTGATTTATGATTGTATAATTTTTAAAGTGAATTTACTTACTAAAACAGTTTTCTCTGTGCATTAAATGCTGTAATTCTACAGTAGTCCTATTATTTGTACAGGTTTATCTTTGAGGCCAATTTTTTTTTTTTTTTTGGTTGATTTCAATCTATTAACTCTATTTTTAGCTGTCAGGCTCACAACATCATTTAGTTAAGTACTATGAAATTAGACATAGCTCCATGTTAAGGTAATTGCAGCAGTCTAATTAACCTTTATACAGTATAGTTTCTCATTTCCTCTACTGCATTATCTATGCTAGCAGGGCGATAGAAATGTTTGAACCTCAACAAAATTTTAAATTAACTAGCACATTATGACTAACCACCTGATCTCCACACCTAATGACTTTACTAAACTCAACAAAATTGAAACGTCCACAAATTAAAGATAAACCTTTTATAGTTCACTGTTGATGTATTCAAAAGTCACAATTATTTCATACCAACAGTAACCATACTTCATATGATATTACTGTAGAGCCATCAATATCAAATCTGATTTGGAAAATGCTGTACTCATACATAATCATTTTGTTAAAGGTCCTAGTTCTCAAATCCAAAACATGGTCCAAAAATGGACTGTAAGATTACAGATTTGGACAGTGAGGTATCAAAAATAAAAACAAAAACTGATTAAGGTTCTGGATGAATTGTCTGATCAGATTTGATGATGAATCAATCAAACTTGACAAAAATGGCCAAGGTAATTCATTTAACAGGGCTGCCGCATGTAGGCTTCAGCATAACCCTGAACTGATGATGATAGGTCTAATGCAGGGGGTGCATAAAATTTGGTCGGAGGGCCAAAGTGAATTTCTGATTTAACATTGAGGGCTGCATCCAAATTTTTATGGTTCCAGTGTGCTTTCAAAAACCGTTATGAACTGCAATTATACAACTTTATTCTCAGTTGTAATATTACTTTTTATAGATGATCAGTGCCGGGCCATAAATAACAAGGTGTTTTCTAGCCAAAGATGGTTGGTGGGCCGCAAGCATAGGGTTTTTAATTCTTTTTTTTAGCTGGCCCGCATAAAAAATCACTGTTGGGCCAATGCGGTCCGTGGACCCAACTTTGCCCACCTATTTTCTAATGAGTGCATTCTTTCTCAGAATGCATGCTCATTGATTCATGAAGTTTAAGTCTTTGATTCACATAATAAAAAAATGAAACACAAGACATTTTCCGTTATTTTAAATTGTTATTCCAGCATACAATTTATATTCAAAAGGATACATGGGGTTGATGTTGAGGGGTAGGAGCTACAATATTTTTCATAAAGTAAAGGTAAAATGTCAAATGAAATGCAGTGTAAGTTATACAGTAGAGTATCGTATTATCCATGGAGTCCATAACTACTGTAGGCACCTGTGGGGCAGCAACATTTTGAATTTTAAAAACTTAAATGCTATGCAATGTACTGCATAAAATGATATATCACAGCATTTGGATTTAATTCTGTATGTATACTTCTATTTTCATACTGCAATACAAACACAATATTTTTTTTGTTTTTCCCAACATTTTAATGTTACTACTGTTTCATGTTTATTTAAATAATGTATCTGATTTCAAAATCAGTACAGTATATCGCAACTAACCGAAGGAAGTGATTAAAGTAGAGAACCACGAATCATTAACCACTGAGCCTACTGTTATTACTACATTTTGTATCCAACATGGATGTATGTTAGTGATCTGTAAAACAGGAGTCAACTAAAGTCAATCCTACAGTAACTCAGATGCGATTCAGGTATCTGTTTCTTCTAAGTATAATTTATTCAGATCATTTCTTTTATAATTCAATTATAAATGGAGTGATTTTTGTTTAGTGTACTCTGTGTCACCTTACAATACAAACAATGCTGTTGCCAGGATTTTTAAACTGTGTGGGACAATATCAGGGTGGACCAACTTTACACGTAAATTCAAATTTTCCTAAAAGTTGCCCCATTTTATGCAAAAATATGAATAATCTGGCCCCATTTTCTTAAAAATTGACCCCTTTTTTACAAAATATGAGGAATCTGGACTTTAAAAGATGGTTGATGGTAAAGTCTTGAAACAAAATTGAAATCTTATACTTGACTTTGGCTTTCACTTTTGCTTGCTTCGGAATAGATTCTCTGAAGAAATGTGTGTAAATTGCTTGCATTGGTTTAAAACAAAACAAACTTCAATAGCATGATCTATATCATCTTTTAAGGATTGTAATTATTTGCTGAAATGTGTAAAAGTAAATGTAATAATATAGGTTCTACATCTGTAATTTAGGAAATTTTGTTCAATTATATGTTTATGTACTTTAAATACCGACATACAAAAAACATTTATTCAAATAATGAATTAGTTTTTCTTTCTTCAACACAAATAGTATACTGTAAAACCAGGAAATTTCGCGCGCATAAAATTTTCGCAAATTTCGCGAATGGTCCAGATTTGCGAAAATTTTATGCCGTGAATAATTTTCAGGTCACCTGCTCTATGTTTCAAAAAAGATTGGTAGAGTACTATCTGATCATTGTGAATCTCGAATCAGTTTCACAAATGAGATTTTGGTCATTATGAATCACTAAATTACACCAAAAATTAATTTCAACTTTTTTAAAGATGATAATGAACAATAAACAGCAAGAATTGTCGGTATTTCAAGGCCTAAACTCGCCGACGACGATGCAATACAGATCTAGGGCCTAGGCCTAAATGGGGAATCCCCACAGATTGCAACATGTTCGTGAAAAGTTCAACTTCAAAATTTAAAAAAATTATATTTTAAATTACAGTGAGGCCTAGAACTCACAATACTGTACGATATTTTTAGTTATTGTATGGTATTCCTCTCATGAATAAAATTTAGGCCTTTTGTGATTCGCGAAAGTTTAATGTCGCGAAAACGGCCGAAATTATCAATTCGCGAAAGTGTCTGGTTTTACAGTATCCTAAAAAAAATGACAAATTACCGGTAAGCATTTTGGAATAGCTAGATGGAAATAGTAATTACTTTACAAATTCAAGTGCACTCAATATGTTGAGTACTACCAGTACTACTGGCAATATTAAAAGAACAGACTTAAGAGATTCTAAGATGAAGTCCTTTGGCATAAGTATTATCCATAAAATTATAAAGTCTACCCCATCTCAAGCATTCACTATTCACTATTGTTAAACTCTCTCTGGTAATTTATCAAATCTGGAAAGTTAAATATAATATATGTACTGATAATGATTGTATCTATTGCATCCAATGTAGTAGCCACCTATTCAGGCAGTTATGGTAGTTTCTAACATAAACTACAGCATTTTTGTTTTGTTCGAGTTTGTTAAGTGTTTTAAGTTAGTTTAAGATTAAGTCTAGTTTAGATATTTGTGTGTTTAAAAAATTGTTTGATTTGTATATTTTTCTTTTGACTTTCTGGTTAAATTATTGCATACACAGCCTTGCAGAATTACAACTGTTAGTTGGGCCAAGTTTTCCATGTTTTAAATAAAGCTTAGGACAGTCCCACACAATGTTTCTATTATTAGGTCCACAAAGAATGGGTCCACATTTTAAAAATGGATCCAGATTTCTCATATTTTTGTGAAAAATGTTTAACTTTTAAGAAAATGGGTCCAGATTTCTCATATTTTGCGTAAAATGAGTCAATTTTTAAGAAAATGGGTCGATATTATTCATATTTTTGAGCAAAATGGGACAACTTTAAAGAAAATGGGTCCACATTATTTGAATTTAAGCGTAAAGTGGGTCCACCCTGATATTGTCTCACACTGTTTGAAAATCCTGATCTATGGTATTGATTGCATCTGACCAGTGGATTCAGAAATTTAAAATAGGGGTTCCAGGATGGGACTTTGACAGATGGAGGGTCTAAGAAAATTTACGATTATGTCACCCCTAGAAGGTCAGAAATGGCACTCTCAGACCTAAAATTTGAATGTAACTTTCTTTTTTTCTCCAATTTTTTACAATTTTGAAAAACTTAGGGGTCCGGGGCCGGTTGGGGCTCCCTTGAATCAACTTATAAGAATTTTGATGCAAAAACTGAGTTGCTTTAAAATCTTTTGGAAGTTAATTACTATTAATATTGTTCCTTTTAAGTGGGCAGTTCTATATTTTTAAAGTATTTTATTTTGACTTTTCCACAGAGTATAAATGTACTTATAATCCCTTCTGTATCATTAATAAGCACAGTAAAAGCCATTAAAACAAGCAGCAGGAATACTAAAATGGGATTCTCTATTACTACTTTATAGAATTACAGGAAATCATAGTAATCAGGAGCTGGTAATATGCTGCACAAACATGTGTGCCATAACCTTTGCCAATTCACCATTGTTTAAGTTTGCTCGTGTCAATTGAATACTGCTACTTAAATT